ACAAAATCTTGTCTTTCAAAAATTCAATATTTAAATAATTAATAATAATTAAAGTAATTGATAACATTAATTAACCAGACTATAATAATAAAAGTTCCAGAGCAATCTGTTTCTGAGCAAGCTAGTTACTTACGTAAAACAATTGCGGGCACGCATACCAGAGCAGCGTAAGTGTGGGAACTGAATGAAATTTGAAATCTCACGTTAAAAGTTAAGACATTCGTCAATTTAGCGTCACGCTGTCGAATTGTTATTGTCATCGTTGTCATCGTTGTTGTTAGTGTCATTGTTGTTGTTGTTATTGTTGATGTTGATGTTGTTGTTATTGTTGATGTTGATGTTGTTGCTATTGTTGATGTTGTTGTTGTTGCTATTGTTGATGTTGTTGTTATTGTTAATGTTGTCGAGCTAATGATGTTTATTTTATTTATATAAACCTTTCGTAAATGTTCAATGATTATTGTTAGCTGGTCATTATGTCTTTGTTTGGGTACTGGAGATGTCTTTTGTGATGATGCGTTTGTCATCATCATCGTCGTCGTCATAATATTATTATTGTTATTATTATTATTGTTATTATTATTATTATTATTGTTATTATTATTATTACTGTTTTATTATTAATAATAATGTTATTGTTGTCGTTTCTCGTCTGGCTTGTTTGTTCATTTGTTTTTATTGTTTATTTGTATTTTGTTTGTTTGTGTATTGTTCATATATTGTTAACGTTGATATGTTTATAGCTATCTAGTTGTTCGTTCGTTCGTACGTTCTTTCGTTCGTGTATCTTCTTTATATAGTTAGTATTGTCACTGTTGATCTGTTTATGGGGACGTGGTCTCGCGAGCTGTTGATTCACTCCTTTTTGTTTGTTACCTTGCAAATTTCATCTGCTGGTATTAACCGTTTAGTTAGCTGGTACCGGTATTACTCTAATATTGTGGTATAAACATCTTTGGCATAAATACTACTATGTGTGTGTGTGTGTGTGTGTGTGATGTGTGTGTGTGTGTGTTGTTTGAGTGTGTGGTGTGTGCAGCAGTAGCAGTTGAAACAACGAATATGCTAGCAGCTGATGTAAGAGTTGTATTTATATTAAGATTGGAAATATTTTTATAGCGCCTTTGTAAAAAAAAAGTTAACCCAATATCGCTTTCTCAGTAAAAGTATTGCATTAGTGAAGGCTAAACACAAGAGTGTGTTGTTCATATTCGTAGTACTATTGACAGTATTTGAACTGAAATTGGTATAGCTACTATTAACTTTAACTCTACTACTACTACTACTACTACTACTACTACTACTACTACTACTACTACTACTACCACTACTGCTACTACTACTACTACTACTACTACTACTACTACTACTACTACTACTATTACTACTATTACTACTACTATATATTTGTATGTTTGGGTGTCAGTGTATTTGAGTGTGTGTATATGTGTGTGCGTGAAAGTAGCCAGACATACATAATTTAAGATAAAAATAGACGAATAGAGATAAAAATAGGAAGCCTAATTAAATTTTAAATTGGATGAATAATTGAGTTATCAAACCGGCCATGGATTGTTGCGCTATTGTCACCGCCGTTCAATAGCGACGCCAAGACAGTACTGCCAAAACTAATATAAAATAGGTTCGTTTTTTATTCATTTATTTTTTCATTCATTTATTCATTCATTCATTTGTATGTTCGTTCTTTCGTTCGTTCGTTCATTCGTTCTGTCATTCTTTCAACGATTCGTTCATTCATTCCGTTCATATGAAATGATAAATATTGTGATATTGTAATTGTTACTATTGTTACTATTGTTGGTATTCTAGTAGCATTATTTCTTCTTTTATTATTATTATTGTTGTTGTCGTTTTGTTGCTATTGTTGATTTGTCAGTATAGTTATAACACAACAACAACAATACTAATAATAAAAATTATTATTATCGTTGAAAACCGTTAGCTATCGTTGAATCGTTGAATCAGTTGGTGTCATTATCATTGCAACTGTTTTTATTATTCTTCTTCTTCTTCTTCTTATTATTATTATTATTATTATTATTATTATTATTATTATTATTATTGATATAATTGTTGTTTTTCATCATTTTTCCTTGTAATAATAACAACAAAAATAATAATAACATTGATAATAACTTTCTTTTAATAAATAATATTATCTAAATTAATTAATTATTATTATTCATTAGAGATTTTTTGGGTGTTGTGTTTTATAATAAGATTATGGTACTTATTACTTTCAGGTATTAACTTATGGAGGGTTAAGTGTTGATGTATTAACTAGTTTTTGTGTGAGTGTGTGTTTGTGTTTGAGTCTGTTTGCTTGTGTATGTATGTCAGTATGCGTGTGCGTGTGTGTGTGAGTTTGTGTGTTTGTTAGATTTGTTAAGTGAGAAGTTGGTAGGTTTATTGATTGATTAGTCGGTTGGTTGATTGAACTTTCGATAGATAGATTTGCTGATTTGGTCACAAAATTGATTTGTCGATGGTTGATTGGTTGGTCGATTGATCGATCGATCAATTGTTGATTGATTGATTGATTGATTGATTGACTGATTGATTGGTTGATTGATTGATTGATTGATTGATTGATTGATTGATTGATTGATTGATATATCTGCTGAATGGCAGGCCGATTGCGTGTCGATGACACTCCGAAGTAAAAATTATTGCGTGCCCAGATAAATGATCAAAAACTATTAATTAGTCATCCATTTTGAATGCAGACTCACACGGTATCATGATACATAATATTAATATATCAAAACCACACACACACACACGTGCACATCGCACGCGTACACGCACTCACATACATATGGGTATATATATATATATATATACATATATATATATACCCATTCTATATGTAGGCACGCATACATACGTTGCTACGATAAAAGTTGATTTGAATGATGGTTGCATGTTCCTACCGCCTTATAAAAGTTTGAAGAGAGATCCCCTAGCGTTTGCTGAGTGGAAGATCGATTCGCTGGTTCTGCTGTTGGTGATGTAATTTATGAATTTAAATAAATTAAATGAGATTTAATTATTTAAATAGTGGTAATTACTCAATTAATTAAAGTTAATTGGATTATTTAACGAACTATTAACAACGAATTGTAGATTTTTTAACTGATTATTTTAAAAAACAAAACTTATTTGATGCAACAGAAGATTTTTGTTCATTGTTGACTGATTTTTTAATATATGCACACGCACAAGGTTAGTTTGAAGAATATTATTTTATTGTTTACATTTTTCTTCCAAAAAATATGGCATGTCTTAGTAAAAGTGATGTGAGTTGCGATAAAAAGAATTGTCTTCCAAAACTTTTGATTGACGGCTCTTGTACAAATTACTGTAGCAACAAATAACTTATGAATCAAATGAGATTAGTTATTTTAACGTAATGTAATCTGTTTTTATTTGAAATAAGATAGCCACCCATGCAAATCTTTCACGTACACACATACAAACACACACAGAAACACGCTTGCAAATAGAAACTGAAAAAGCAGATGTAGACTAAAATTCACGAAAATGGGAAAACAAACACAATACATTGTGAAACACATACATCATACACATGCAAACACACATACATCATACACACACACATACACACATTTAAAGATAAAAACACAAACTTTGACTGTAGATACACGAACATATATCAATTCACATATGTACAAACAAAACAAAAGTGTAAGGCCCATACAAATATAGCGTCTCTCTGTCTCTCTCAAACACACAGACACTTAAACACATACAAACATACATAAATGTACAAAAACAATGTTTACGTGAACGTATGTTAAACATAAACAAAACCCACCCAAACAAAATCACACGTTGGTTAGCCAACAACAATTCTAACACAAACACCCTAAGCCAATGTTCTTAACAAGCTGAGCTTAACATACAAACAAATAGTTAACACTTTCAAATATGTTTCACACGTTCTTACGACATTACACACAACAAAAACACACATACACACACATATATACACACACATATATACAAACACAAACACCTATACATTCATTTTTAATACATATTCACATAATTATACACAATCACATCAATACATTTACACCAATAAGCATTTATATATCTGTACATGAAAATAAGGTTTTAAATTTAAAAAAATCTTCATTTTTTGCGTCTAACAATTTTAAAACTCTTGGAAGTATATCGAAATTTGTTTTCGTAATAAACTAATTTATGTCGAGTGCATAATTGGATGTTAAGTTTTAAAGGTTTTGGGTTTAAGTTAACATTATGCAACAATGTAATTGTAGGTAAGTGCAGATTAATTATATTCTAGTAATATGATACTAATTTGACCTTTCCATCTATCCATTTATTAATCCTTTTATCCATCTACACATGGATACAATTCATTAATTTTTTATCCAACCATTTGTTCATCCACTTTGTATTCATTCGATTATTTCATCATTCAATCATTCCTTTATTTCTCTATTTAATCAATACAACATTATTCATTCATACAATTTTTCAATCAATCCATCAATCAATCAATCATCAATCAATCT